TGAACTAATCTGAAGTTCAAGGACTTTCAGATACATGGCTCACCTTTGGACTATGTATTCTCACATGAAAGCCACTTCAGCAAAACTCAGGAGTCCAATTCAGCTTTGCTGTAACTGGTCATGACTCTCTTGACTTCAGCAATGCTTCATATGCTTACAAAAGGTCTGAATTTATCCCTATGGTTTCTCGGTCACTGGTCCTCCCTTCCAACTCAGAAACTGCCTACATAATAAAAGTGATTCATTAGAAACCGCTGGGTTCCAAAGTAGAGTGAACATTGAGACCTATAACTTTCTTATATGTGCTCAGTCATAAAAATGAATTTATATGGTCTTATTCCATGAACTCACTTTACAAATATTAGACCGTGAGTTGTAATCTTGTCAAAGCTCATAAGTTAAGCAAGGTCAGAATTGGTCAATATTTGGATGAGAGCCCCCAGGGCAGGGGGAGGGAGATAAGTATATACTCTGGAGTTCCTGCTGCATTTGTAATCTCTGGCTCCTCTTTGAAAGGATTTTGTATTAGTCTTAGAATACAACAGAATGTTTTGTATTTGCCTTAGCAATAGTTTAGGCTCTGGCCATATCTATGCTGCATCTTGGCTGTTTCAGCTAACATCTTTTTCCAGAGATGATTATGTAGCAGATGAAATCCTCTCCCCCACTACCACCCTTTAACCCAGTGTGCAGCTCTACAAACAAAATGCCTCTACTGTTACCCATCACCCTCTCCCTGAAGCATTTATTTCTACTTATATTACTTCTGCATTCTCTATGCTTTATCTAGCAAAATATACCTAAAAAAAACAGCTCTATACCCAAGAAAAAGCACTCTCTCCTCCTTACCTTCTCCCACAGTTCCCTCTGAGTATCCCATACTCTCTCCTCTTCTTACCCTCCCCCATAAATAACTCCCTCTAAATATCTCATGCTCTCCCACCCTTTTGAGCTCTTCCTTCAGGTACCCTGCCCCTCTCCCAGGTGCATGCCATGTAGTGCTCAAGTACCTTTAACCTTTTATTGTGCTGGAGGAGCTTATATGTAAAAGGACCTTTTGCTATATCTTGTGAAAGTATGCTGTAGGCAGAGTAGTATGTAGTCAGAAAAGACACGTAAATAATTGAAGGTGGGAAGAAAAAGCATTATACAGTAATTTTCTGAGAAACAGCTTAGCCACATATCTGAGGTAATATATGGACACAGAAGGGAACTGCAAACCTACCCGGCTTTTCCTAACACTGGAGTGCACAGACGCCAGCATGACTGCTCTTTCAGCACACTTTGTCACTCTATTAGGAACAGCTTTTACAGTAGAGGGGATAAAATGGGAAAGGTCACCAATCTTGTACCTAGCAAAGCAGCTGTGTTGCACTGGAAGGACTGCAAGTGGGCATGTAGGTCACAGGTGGAGAGAGGAGAACTCCTCAGGCAGGGGTTCCCTCACCCCCCTGCACTGCATGGCTGCTGCCTGCCAGCTCACAGCCTGCCCCCTGCACCAAGGGGGGATGAGGAAGGGCACTTCTGAAGCTATAGGTTTATGTGGTGGTATGCCATGTCAGACAGCTGCTGAAGACCTCTTCCTATTAAAGCAAGTAATAAATCCGGTGTTAAGAAGCTGGATACCAAATTAGACAGATCACTAGCAAAGCTGTTCCTAAGAGGCACACACCAAATACAGTGGCATGGAGGAGCTGCACATCAAGGGGTTCTCATGCAATAAAATGGGAAGTAAAAAAATGCAGCCAAGAGGCAGAAAATCCTGACCAGGCTACAGCCAAACAAACTTAAACATCTTTGGGAATAAATTGGTGGTTTAATTTGGATCAGGAACAGGTGCTATGACTGTAATTCAGTAAATGGTCGAGAGCCTGCCAGAAGGGAGAAAAATGTGTTGCTTTTGAGATAATTTCCCAGAAGCTTCATAAAAGAAAATTGATTACTGGAGTTTAATAATTAAAACAGGGCCAGATATATAGTAGTCAAATGAGGTTTTAATTACATCTCAAGTAGAAATAAAATCCAATTTGTGTACTTTGTATCAGGAAAGTCTTACTGAAATGCTTTGGTAGCTGGAAAAATAAAATAAAAGCTAATTTCCATAGGAATTATAGTAGTTGGTTTAATTAAAAGATCTGATCAGAATTAAAGAGGCACAGAGTGAAAGGATACTAAATACAGAAGTAGTGGCTTAAACAGCAAATCAATGACTGAATAAAGACATTTTATAGACTAAGTACAAAATCTGCAGTGTCAAGTATCCCTAATATAAATTAATGTGTAACAAAATAAAGTTTCTTTAAATTACCATATATTTTGAAAGTATTTCATAGAATTAATTGCTTGTGCTCTGCTAAAAATGAGTATCTAAGATGGTTTATTCTTTCTTAAATACTCTTTTTATTTAATCAAAGTTAATGTTATTAGTTAGCCATTCCTGTTATTTACTGCACTTGGGTTATCAGACTCTGTAATACCCACTTTGCTATGTATCTCTAAGAAATACATGTATCTACTTTTGGATTTAAAATGTGTTTACAGCTCATAACATACAGTGATTACTGTAGAACTATGAGGTAGCTTGTTGGATCCATTCCCAATCTATTTGGGCTTCTGGTCTCTGCTGTAGTGGATGCAAAGCTAATTGATCTAAACAGCTCAAGCACTCACAGTCCTCGCAGCATTGTACATGAGAAGGCTGTCTCCTACCGTAAGAGTGTGGCAGATGCCTAGGCCTAGAGGGACAAGCACAGCAGTAGGTTACGCCCAGACCTCTGCATTTGCTCCCTGGCACTAGGATTGAAAACATCATGGTCTTGTGGTCAGTCTTGGCAAAAAAAAACGGTACAGAAAGGACACAGACATAGCATGGCCACGCTGGGACAGACAGAGGCCACTGTGCCAATGAGCTGCTTCTCCTCTATGTTCTCTGTAGCAGGTTGCTGTTACAGCATTTATGACAGGAACAGCCTGTACTGCATTTTGTGCTTACAGATGCTGTGGCAGACAGAATGGCCTCTTTGTGCTTACAGACATTTGAAATACACTGATTTTTAAACACTGATTTAAATATAGATTTTTAATTTTTATTTATTTTTTAATCATCTTAAATGTATACTTGGGAAAATACCCCACAAAAACTTTTTCAAGATTTCAGAAATACCAGCAAGCTTAACTGCCAGTGGACGGATACTGGCTTTGCACAGAAAGGATCTAGGATGTTGCTTCTGAGAGCCGAGTATCTAATGTGTGACCTGTAGACACTGTGTTAGCAGTGGTAATGCCTGTGATAATGATAATAGCAATGAGGTTTTTCAGGTATTTTCAGGTTTTTGTAATGTATTACTACCCCCCAGTTTTGGACAACAAATCAGGTTTGAGGAATACACAGTGGTCTGAAATAAAGAGCTAAAAATGGGGAGCCCCGAGCCACGGTGTTGGCAGTGTTACAAATTCACATCCATTCTATCAAATAAATGACTGTCACCAGCAAGCAATACTATAATGTCGCAGAGACTGCAGTAAACTCTGCCTCCTACTCCAGGCCCAAGGTTGCAAAATTATCTGCCCACTCTGTGCCATACTCCAAGGAAATAATTTCCAGCAGATTTGCTTCAAGTTCCATACAAATCAGCTTCGTATCCATGGCATGATTTTTCAGAAGTGCTGAGCGTTCATATTTGCTACTGAAGTCAACTGAAACTGCAAGTTTTCAGCACATCTTAAAATCAGGCCATTAACCCTTAATTATCATATAATAGCTCAATTAAAAATCTAGCAAGACTTACTTCAGCAGCTAACCAAGCTCCCATGGCTTGCAGACTAGCTATAAAAAAAACAGGTTTTCAGTGGTGTCTGGGCTCCAGGGACCACTTAAAGTGGTTGTTGTTAACCCTGCTATTTAAAACAAACAATGAAAATTATCAACTGTAAAGGTATCTGCTTCCCCTTTCCTTCTTCTCCTTATAATTTTCTTCCCTTCTGGAAAAATAACTTTTGCTGTCTTCTCCATCATTACTTTTGTTTTTTATCTTGCACTAATCCTTTATTTCAAATGACAAATACATAGCTTCCAAGCTATCAGAGAAAACATGATACCCAGCTCACAGCAAAACCCACTTCTTGTTGATCAGAAAAGCCACAAAAGAGTAATAGTCCTCTATCCTGAAAGGGCACATTACATGATCGCTTGGGAGGTAACTGCTTAACCCTTTCTTCATATCCAGGTGCTGCTGTCAATGAGGTTCTGTCTCTCTTTAATGTAGGAACAAAACCAAGTGAAGCACTTGTGGTTTCCACATAGGAATTTGATACTAAACGGGAAGGCAAAATAAACTTCTAGCAAAGGTGTGCAGGAATTACATAGTTTAGGGGCTGATTCACAGCCAGCTGAAAACAGATAAAATGTTCTTACTGGCTCCTGTGAACACTGGACTGGGTATGTAGAAAAGAGGTGATTTTAGTGCAGTCTAAAAAAAGAACTTATCTATCTATCTGTTTTTTTATTTATTTTGAGCACATACTAACTTATTTTTTGCCAGCTTTGGAAAGCACAGCACGGCTGTGGCTTACTCATCTACAGGAAATAAGACTCTAGCAGTAAGGAGAATCTGGAAGTTCTTTCAGCTTTGTCCAACTGGACACTGGACCTCTGGCTCACAGATGTCAGCAACCAGATAGTCTCAGGCACTTGGAGGATGCTTCAGAAGGGCTGTCTTTAAGGATTACAAGAAAGCTAAAGTAGTCGAGCAGCCATTCTGCCACCTTATGTGCTGCTTTTTTTTTGACATTTTTGGTGGCTTAAAGCCTCAGGTAAAACAAGTGACATAAAGAGATCTCCATGGGAACAATAAGCTCTATCTGCACAGGAGTTTACAGCTGGTGGTGTGGAGGGCTGGCATATGGTGCAGATTAAACTCTTTTTACCCTGTTACTCCCTGGTCTGTCCATCAAAGGAGTGGAAATATTATCAATATTTTTTCTCTTTAATCTTCTTCCAGAGTCTGGTGAAGCTGAATGTGAAACTAAAGCCTATGCTGGACTCCATGGTGGTTAACAGAGGTAAATGGGAGGAGCTGCATCAAAAAAGACTTCCTTCTCAGGCGGCATCCTCGTCCTCCCTTTCCTCTAGCTTTACTGTGTCTCTCAAAGACATAAATTAAGCCTGCAAATGTCAGTGTCGCTTTACGGTAAGAGCTGTCTGAAAGGTTTTGGTAACCTTAGGCCCATGATTTTTTTTAAGAGATGCTTTCAAAGGCATGCTTAATTGATTGGATATTATCTTGATAGCAGCATAGCTTGCTTTTACTTAGTGGGCTTAGTGGGACTGAAAGGAAGGCCTGTGGTGAGACTGCGCTGGTATCTGGAGCGACATGGAAGACTTAGCATAAGAAGTATTCATTCAGCTCCACTACATTTCAACTGCTGCTGTAAAAATCTGTAAAGCTGACAACAGACTGAAATATAAGAACTTACAGCTTAATAAAATTAATAAAACAGAGCAGAACTGGGATGCAAGCTGGTCAATTCATATGCAAGGAGCTGCAGGAAAACAGAATAGTATGTAATTACATTGTTGTTTTGCATCTCTTCAGTACATGTTATGAATCAATTATGCCTGCTTTTGTGATGTCCCTCTCTCTCTTCCCTCCTCTTTTATGCCTGAATGTTCCGAAAAGCCTGCTTTGTATTCTAAAGAAGTATTTTTTTACAACAAAGCTTCTTAGTGATTGATCAGGGCCTTTAGGATTGCCTATCTTTGCTACATTTAAAAAACAAACTTTATTATCTTTAAAAGCACCAACCTGTCCCTGCTTCCCTGAGAAATGCATATTAACAACGCATTAAATTTCTTAGCAAAGGGAAGTTTGGGTAAAGGCAAAATACTGCAGAGATTCCTCTTTTTTTTTCTTTTAAAACGTACTCTTTTAACACATTCACTTAAAAAAAAAAAAAAAAGATTAATGGGCTTTAATGAAAATACAGTACAAATAAAAAAGGAAGTCTATTGCCTTGTCCTTCAGGTTTATATTACATTGAAAAGTAGACCATGGATGAGTCTTTTCAGTATAATTTCCAACTGAAATTTCTATTTTGAAACGGTGGAGAGGAACAACATGACCATACTGGAGTGACTGCCTCTTGCTTCTCTTTCGGTACAATTTAAAATGTTATTACAGCTAGCCCAGCACCAGTCAAGGCTTACATGTAGATGTCTGTGGTAGAGGTGTTCAGAAAAATCTAATCAAACATGACAGGTCACAAAAACAACTATGTCTAGTTCTGTGTGTTGATGCTAGTATTACCTGAAAGTCAGTCTCTTTCCATTAGCGCAAAGATCACTAGTGTAGCAAAACTGTGATCTATGATTTCAGGGTGCTTTCTCTGCTGCATGACTGGACACAAGGGGAGTCATGCTACAGTGCTTACGAGTTCCCATTCATAAGGAAAAAAAGCCTTTGTATTCCATGAAAAATGGGATTCTAAATATAGGGTTGTCTGGCAGCAGAAATTAAAGCTGAATTCAGCTAAGTCTTACACCTGTGCCAAACTCCATTTACTTCAATGGAATTACTTTGAACTGACACCAACTTAATGGAAATGAGGGCCTGGCCCAGCTGACTAGATGCTAAAAAGAGCTTTCCACCTTCCTAAGGAAAGTGAGTCGTTAGCACCTTTGAAAAGCTGACTACTTTTGTCTGACAATCAAACAGAAACAGCAAACAAACCACACAAAACAAACCCGCTCTGTGCAAACAAACCACAGCAAAACAAACCCGCTCTGTGCTAGGGATCTTGCGTATAAGAGAATAGCTGGAGACTGCAGTACCACTGCAAACCAATCTGTTAGTATGCAATTGGATCACAACACCTTCTCTAGCAAAAAGAAGCAGGAAAGGAGCAGAAATGCAGACTCCACAGCAGAGAATACATGCACCAAATGGAAATGTTTCTGCTATCATTTTACCACTTCTTTCTTCCCTGAATAAAGACAGACATAAGATAGCAAGCAGCAAGCCATATAAAACTTACCACCCATACTTTATAGGAAAAACAGATACTAGGAATTGCCATAATTCTGGCAGGTACACACACCTTTCCTGAATTTTGATATTGCATATTGCTAAGTATAACATAATTTATAGTGTGTACCCTCCAGCTTCCCCCAAGGTTGAGGCTCCCCTCATTTCCTCTCCCTTTTATTGGCTTCAGTGCACTGTTGCCCATGGCAACACCCATGGTGCAGGGATGGGGATGCAGCAGGGCCACAACCTGACATACAGCTGAAGCTCTAACAATGTCAACCATCAATCAAGTGACTGTTTGTAATTGCCTCCATCTATTTCTCCTGTCTTTCAGTATCTTTGCTATTGTGGGTCAAAATTCAGAAACTGCTGACTAATGTTACGGTTCTGTTCCTCCATCACAAGGAAGAAAATGAAAGAGCACTGCTAGATCTTTATCAAATTGTTCTCAGGCAAACCGAAGCAACCCTACTGAAACCAGGGGGCACAGTACTGCACCTCAGAACAGCATTTGGTCTCTGAAAGTGAAAGAGCTCAATCTTAAAAAAACAACCAACAACAAAAAAAAAAGCTCTTATACTTTTTTCTTTAACACCTAGTTAGGGAATTGGCAACAGACTTGCATTTTTGTGAGACAAAGAGGATTCTTTGTGGAAGCATGCAGTATAGTAAAGAAACATATTCCAGGTTTCTCATGTTTTAAGATGGTGAAAACCACTTTTTAGCTGGCGCTTACAAGCTTCGTAGACAGAAATTATATCTGCTTTTCATTATTTCTGATAGGGAAACATTTCTCAGTACTCCAGTCAGTTCTGCCAAACTCTTCCAGAATGTGCACAGGAGATGACTCTCTAGGCTATTAAATAGGCATTATCTGTCTTTTACTCATTTCTCTTCCCACTGCACAAGGGGAGATCAAAACCCATTGAGATCGGCTTAGTTCTGGGAGTGCACATAAAGCACAGGTCCACCAGAGGTGAGGGCAAATTAGAGGGCATGAGCAGAAGAGGACAGAGAACCCACTGTTACCCGGGACAATGCTAACGTTGCTTGGCCTTTCCCTGGAGGTGCCCAACACATCTGGTCTGCCTCAGCAAAAAACAAGTCATCACTTTTTTGCCCCAGCAGTTAGTGGAAATTTGGCCTTGAATGAGGGCTCTAGCGTTTACAATTAAAGTGCTAAACTGTGGTGAACATGTGGATCATCTATAGGGTCGTAAGGCCTTGATTCTCCCCTAGTTTTGCTTCGAGCTGGTTCAACAGCAATGTTTCTAGGTGTTCTACTGACTAGTGCTAACAGCAGCCTGAATTCAGTCAGGTTTCTTGTCTCCTGAATCACAGGCTGTGCAGTCTCACAGAGGCCAGCCAGCAGCCCTTACTTTATCAGCAGAACATGCTCAGGAGAAAACCTGGGTTTTCATCCCCATCCTCAAAGATAGTTCAGGTCACACAGTAATTCCACTCAGGATTCCCACCTGTGAGACCGCTTAACAAAAATTTTCCTCGCCATAAAAAAGGAAAGCTTTTATTTTCCTGTGTAAGTGCCCTAGCATTACATAGGATAATTGGGAAGGAGCCTTACATTCAAATCCTACTTGAATCTGGAGGAGATTTCAAACTGCAGCTGCACATTCCCCACCAATCTGTGGGGAGTCACAAGGGTGGGCTTGTCTCCTGCCCTCCTCCATAAGCCCCTTACATGTGCCCAGCGAGGAGACAGGATGCCTGCTGGGTACAGCCCAAGCTCCTGCTTCACTCCTGGGAGATGCACAGATCTGACAGACTTTGGTAGAAGAGCTCAGGAGGGGCTTGTATGTACATCCTGCTGGAATGAAATGCTCCCCTGCAACACAACACTGTGACCCCACCAGAAAAACAGAAAAGCTAACACTGTCCAAGGCAAGGAGCCCTGGGGTAGAGGCTCTCCTACTGTGGTTCAGATGGAAGGATTTCCTACCTCCCGAGAACAAGAAGTGGAAGAGGTATCCTTGGCCATACTTTGAGTAGTAAAATCAGACAATTTCCCTACCTACAGGCAAAACAGAACAGCTTCATAATGTGATCGAGATGGAGACATTTGCTTCTTTCTGTCAGGAGGCAGGTTGGCTCCTGCTCCAAAGCAGACTCGCACTTAACATGGCCAGACAGCAGCAGCACACAGAAGTTTAAGCTGGATGCCTCAGGTGTCAACTGGACACTGAACTCCCCATACAGCGCTGTTGCGCCAGTCGCTACTGCACTGAGGAGGTCGTTAGTATGGTTTGTGCCCTGCAGAAAACAACCACAGAGTAAACGAGTATGTTTCATTTTAGCTCAGGTATTCCTGCAGATGGTGCCCTTGGTACAGCACTGCACTTTTCTGGACTGGTGACCTTCCTAACTGCCCCCTCTTATAGTGCACTGCAATCTCATAACGTGCCTGTAGTTATCATCAAAGCCAATACTAGTACTCACAAACTACTTTTGAAAACTGCAACCAGCAGTGCCTAATGCAACTTGTAATATTTAGATGAATTAATCCTGGTGGGAAAATAGGCGTGTTTCAGCCGACACGCCAAATACTTATTTTCCCTTCATAAAATTAAAACGATTTTAGTTACTGGTAGAACATTTATGCATTGAGTGACATTTTAGAACAGGTTTATTTCAAGGTTAGGTAAAACATACTAATGGACACTTCCAATGCTTAGAGTTCTCGGCAAGAAAATGTAGTGCAAGAAGATTTCTATTGGCTTTAACAAAGAAACCGAAGATTTTAAGAGTAAAATCATGTGAATGGTTTCTAATATAACAATGAAGTGGGAGGTATAAATCAGCTGAAATGAGACTCCAGAGATTTCCGTCACTTGAATGTGCCAGGATTGGAATACATCGCATATATTGCTCATTACCTTTTCTTTCTTAGATTACTTTCTATTTAATTACCCATTTACAAGCATGTTGGTCACTTGTGTGGGGAATACAAGCTCTGAACCTTTGCCTATGGGAAACAACTGACACACACAGAGAAATACCGTGTGTATGTTCTAATGCAAGTGAACCCTATGTACTTTCCAAATGTGTAACTTCAGACTTCTGGATCCTTTTTCTTTTTTGCATTTTAAGACCACTGTTTTGCTTTAGTAGATCAAACAATGCTGATTCAGCTTTTTAGAGCATGTTTTTGAAATTAACAACTCAATTTTATTGGTCTCTCTAAAAAAAGAATAATAAATCATTTTAATGGTTTGCTGTGATTTTTATTATTACTATTTTACTTTGAAATAGTGTTGCTGGGATGAATCATACAATTATAGAATGGTTTTGATTGAAAGGGACCTTAAAGATTATCCAGTTCCAACCCCTCCTGCCATGGGCAGGGACACCTTCCACTAGAGCAGGTTGCTCAAAGCCCCGTCCAACCTAGCTATCTGTAGGCAGGTATATATATATTTATATATGTATATGTACGGAACCATATTACTGACTCATGCAAAGAGAAGAGCATGAGAATACATGAGACTAAGCAACCCAGATACCATTTTTGAAACAGGACCTTGCAGCCCTTGTTCCTGGAAGCAAACGTAACCTTGCTGGGTATTTGGCATTAGCTTGTAATGACCAAAAACCACATATGGCTGGTGACTCCAACAGAGTTATTTACAAGAACAGAAATTGCTCAGGTTGTAGAGTCTGTGATACTGGATATACCATTGGTCAGTAGAAATACCGGGGGGGGGGGGGGGGGGGGAGGAGAAGGGAAATATCCCCCCCAAGAACAATTACATTGTTGAAAAGAATTTCAGAAAAGTTGGAAATTATTTCTTCTACATTTTCACAGCGGCAGGAGAGCCGACAGACTGTGCTAAGGTAGAAACATCCTTCCTTGCATCAGCCCTAACCTTTGGATCTCACTAGGCTGTAACGGAGATGTTTCCTGTCCAAAAAGCCCAAGACAGAAGTAAAATACCAAGCGGCCTGTGTTCCAGGACTGCATTTTTAGCATAGGTCCCACTTTTACGCTACCATTCGCTGCTGAAGAGAACTTTCACACAACATTTATGAGTAAACTAGCGGAGCTGGTTCTGATTTTATTCCTTCCAGCTGGCAGCGCAGTCAGGAGGAGTGAACTCTGAGACAATCTGGAATCTCCACAGAACAGCCCTTTCACTGCTCAGGAGGCAAAAGCACGAAAGGGCAGTCAAACACAACAGGACGCAGCTCCTTTCGCGGGCACCACCTCCCACAGACACCACGGCGGCGGCACTCCCTGGCACGCACCGTCCGCGCCATCCGCAGCAGAGGGCCGGAGGGCGGGCTGTCAGAAGGGAAGGAAGTAAAGAGCGCAGCACAGGGAGCCCGGCCCAGGCCCACTCTCGCCCTCACAGGGACCCGACGTGACCCCTCGCACCGTGTCCTCCGCCGCAGGCACTACAGCTCCCGGCGTGCCCCGCGGCGAGCCGGCGGCGCACCACCCGTACGTACCCGCGCTCGCACCGGCGGCGTCCGGAGGAGCGCTTCCGCTCTGGCGGCGCCGTTACCACGGCAGCAGCTCGGGCTTCCGCGCCAGCGTGGCTGTTTCCGTAACAGTGGCGATGGAGGCCGCACCGTTGCCGGAGGGGCAGTACACGGCCGTCGTCTACGGGCTGATTGTAGGCGGGAGGTGCGCGGAGGCCGTGTCGCTGCTGAGCCGCGAGCTGCAGAGGAGCTGCCGCTCCCGTGGCGGCCTGTCCCTGCTGGGCTACTGCCACTACCAGCTGCAGGACTTCGCGGCGGCTGCCGAATGCTATGAGCAGCTGGTGGCGCTGCACCCCGAGCTGGAGGCGTACCGGCTCTACCTGGCGCAGGCCCTTTACAAGGCCGGGTTCTATACCGAGGCCCTGCGGGCCGTCAGCCCGCTGCTGGACCTCCCCGCCTACCAGGGCCGTGCCCTGCGTCTGCAGGCGGCCATCCACTATGCCCAGGGAGACCTCCCGGCGGCCAAAAGCCTGGTGGAGGAGGCGCTAGCTGCCGCTGCGGACGGCGGCCCCGGAGCGGCCGAAAATCCCTCGGAGCGTGCTGACGCCGAGATCAACCTGGGCTGCCTGCTGTACCAGCAGGGGCGGCACGAAGAGGCCAGCAGCAAGTTTGCTGGTGCCATGCAAGTGTTGGGATACAGCCCCGAGCTGTCCTACAACATGGCGCTCTGCTGCTATGCAGCCAAGCAGTACGCCCCTGCCCTCAAACACATCTCCGATATCATAGAGCGTGGCATCAACCAGCACCCAGAGCTCAGCGTAGGCATGACCACCGAGGGCATCGATGTCCGCAGCGTAGGCAACACTATGCTCCTGCACCGCACGGCCCTGGTAGAGGCCTTCAACCTCAAGGCGGCCATTGAGTACCAACTGCACAACCTGAAAGCAGCCCAGGAGGCCCTCACAGATATGCCACCAAGGGCTGAAGAGGAGTTGGATCCAGTCACGCTGCACAACCAAGCATTAATGAATATGGACAGCCAACCCACTGAAGGGTTTGAGAAGCTGCAGTTTCTTCTGCTGCAGAACCCCTGTCCACCAGAAACTTTTGGAAACTTGCTGCTACTCTACTGCAAGCATCAGTACTATGACCTGGCAGCTGATGTGCTAGCAGAGAATGCCCATCTGACCTACAAACTGCTCACACCTTACTTGTACAACTTCTTGGATGCCATTATTACTTGTCAAACTTCCCCTGAGGAGGCTTTCTACAAGTTAGATGATTCAGCAGGGATGATGACTGAGCAGCTGAGAAAACTCATGAAGCAAGTACAGGAAGCTAGGCAAAACTGGGATGATGAAGCTGTAAAAAGGGCAGTTAATGAGTATGATGAGACTCTGGATAAATATGTAGCAGTCTTGATGGCCCAGGCAAAGATCTACTGGGACATGAAGAACTATGCAATGGTAGAAAAGATTTTCCGCAAATCAGTGGAGTTCTGTAACGAACATGAGGTGTGGAAGCTCAATGTGGCTCATGTGCTCTTCATGCAAGACAACAAGTATAAAGAGGCTATTAGTTTCTATGAGCCAGTAGTTAAAAAGCACTATGACAACATTCTTGATGTTAGTGCCATTGTGTTAGCTAACCTCTGTGTCTCCTACATCCTGACAAGCCAGAACGAAGATGCGGAGGAACTGATGAAAAAGATCGAGCAGGGAGAAGAGCAGATGTCTTATAATAATCCTGATAAAAATATCTACCATTTTTGCATTATCAATCTAGTCATCGGGACCCTCTACTGTGTGAAGGGAAACTATGACTTTGGCATAACAAGGGTCATTAAAAGCCTGGAGCCGTATAACAAAAAACTGAGCACTGATACATGGTATTACGCCAAACGGTGTTTCCTGTCCTTGCTGGAGAACATGTCCAAGCACATGATCATGCTATGTGACAGTGTTATTGAAGAGTGCATTCAGTTTCTGAAGCAATGTGAGCTGTATGGAAGAAACATTCCAGCTGTCATTGAGCAGCCCCTTGAAGAGAAGAGGTTGCACAGTGGAAAAAACACAGTTACCTATGAGGCCAGGCTTTTGAGGGCACTGATGTACAAGATCACTGGGTGGACTCCCTAAATAGTGATCCCCTATAGCTGAAATGAGAACTTTGTGTCTGTTCTTTTCTGATGCTTATAAGGTGGTGCTCACCCTGGTAGTCCATAGCAGGGTGGGTTTCTCTCGATCGCTTATCTTTAAGGATTTTGTCCGGTATTTGAACATCCAATGGAAAATAGAACATTTGCACAAAATTAACCTGCACCAAATAAGGAGGGGCATTCTCAGTAATCTGGCATGTTAAATACACCTTAAGATGTGTTGACCAAGAACTTCAGTACAGAAATATCATAGTTTTATAAAATATTATATATATAAAATACATATTTTATATGTATTTTGATCAAGATTCTTTTCATTGGTTGACAGTTGAAAAGAATTTGTTACCCACCTCTTTCAGCACAAAAATTGAAGAAGCAGTTGTTTCAATTCTCTAATTTGTGCCTCCGTAGGAAATGTTTTTCTTCTGCTTTTTCCATGGTATTTTTAATGTGTTACAGACCATGTTTATAGTATATTTAAGCACAAAAAATGGCTTTATAATAAAAATCAGTCCTACAAAGATTAACATCGCCTTTTGCTAATTTGGTAATAATGCACGAGTATTCTGGCAGACTGTATACCTAATATAGGGACCATGTATATGTTCCATGTATATTAGGAGGCTACCTCAGTGTAGGCCTTCCCTTGCAGTAAAGTTTGTTATGACTGGACCTAACTGGCTTCAGAGGCACAGCTCAGTGCTGCCTCTTGGCCTCTGCACCCCCAGGTGCCCATCCCTGCACTGTCCCAGTGGCAGCTGTTGCTCTGCAGACCTGTTTGGTAGCAAGTGCTTACTTAGTAACAGTCCTGTTTGCAGCCTGGCCTGTCCCTTCGATCCAAATACCATTCCTAAAATACAGCAGTTTCTTGTAAGAGACTGTGAATGTGAAATTATTTTCCTCAAATAAATATGTAACTTCCATTTCATGCATGGTTTATGACTTACACCCTTAGATGGAAGAAATCTTCTTTTCAGTTTCCTCCTTGTGTTGCTATTCCTACATCTCATAACACCTATCAGAACCCTTGTTTATTTGCTTAATTTCTTTACTTGGCATCTCCATCACCTTGGCATGAGTGTATTTTCTCAACAGTGTCCCTGTAATTTTTCCACCATATTACGTGTTCCACAGTGAAGCGAGACAAAAACACCTTTCAGCTCTTTTACACAGTGTGGTTCTGTGCCCTGTTGCTGCTCTCCTGTTCATGTATTCTGCCTCCTGAAGCAATGCATGACCTGAAGTTTTTTCAGTAAGGATCAGCTAGCTACCCATGGCTTTAACTCATTTGCTTACCTTTGATACTGCCTCCCTGAAGAGCTGTCATGGGGGAATTCTGGAATCAGACTATATGTCCCTCAAAATCCAGTTTCTGTGCTGTGGTTTACCTGGAAAGAGAGAGGACAGCGTTTAAAAGTTGCTCTATTATAAAGCAATGGAAAACTTAATCCTTCTAGAGGATTACATGGGGACTGAACAGGCCTGCAACCATTTCAACATACAGAAAATCAACTCTAACTATCCCCTGGGAGAGAAACCTCTCAGAGCTGAGCATATTGTCTGTAGCTAAAGGAAGTGGCTGCAGGTTAGGTAATGTTACAGTTTACCCTAAGCTTCCCATAACAGTAAAGTAAAATCACA